AGAGCATCTGTTGGATTCAAACCACGTACCTCTGGGATTGCAGTGCAGCATCTTGCCACTAGACCACCAGAGCTCCAAAAAGGAAAAATTTTTACACAAACAGAAAGCCTACAGTGGGGTTTGCCTGGAGCTGTGAGGACAGAAGTTAGGATTAATTGCAAATGAGCTCAAGTGGTGGCTGCACAACTCTCTATATAAAGTTTACTAAACATCACTGACTACACTTGCAATATACGAGTCAGTGGATGAGTTATATATAATATAGAAAACTCAATAAAGGTATCTGAAAAGACTATTTTTTAAGTTCTCTTTTATAAGTGGCCCGAAAGAATTGCATGGATTCAACCATATGTATGTGTGTATGTACACACACAAAATTTACACTACTCTCAGAGGATAACCTCATAATCCACGGAACACCTCGACAGTTGTATTTTGAAAAATTTATGCTAAGTGGACAAAACTGCCAGCAAATTATTGAAGAACTGGAAATAGTTATTTTTAAAGGTAATATGGTTATTAGTAAGGTTTTAAAATCTCATAATAAGGACAAATGGTAACAAAAACTGAGAAATAGAATTAGGAATTAATTCAAATACTCTGATCTTAAGTCTACGTTTAAGTAATTTACTGTGGAGTTGAAATCAACTCACAGCTGACCTCCAGCAGGTTTTCCTGAGCTGTGAATCCCATCTCTCTCTCACAAAGCAGCTGGTGAATTCCAATAGGCAGCGACCACTGAGTTAGCAATGCAACTCACTACAGCCTGTGTCAGCAGAGCTCCCTCTACTGGTGCCTGGGATTCAAAATATTTTTTCAAATTAAGGAAAAAACTTGATATAATTTGGCCTAACTAAACTTTTTTAAAAAATCTCTTTTTAAATTGTTGTTGTGTACTGTTGAGCCGGATCCGACTGGCACAGAAGGAGACTGCCCTTCCTTCTCTAACAGAGCATCTCTGGTGGATTGGCCTAACTAGATGGAGCTCTGGTGGCCTACAATCCCAAAAGCACATGGTTCAAATCTACCAGCTGTTCTGAGAGAAGAATGAGCAAACTAAAAAAAAAAAAAAAAGAATGAGCAAACTCCTCCTATGTGATTTACTGCCTCCGAAGACCTGCTCAAGGTCAGCTATGGATCTGTTGTGATGTGATGACTGATGACACAAAACATTAAACTCAAGGGAGTTCTGGTGGCCTAGGGGATAAGGAGTTGTGCTGGTAACCTAAAGATGAACAGTTTGAAACCCACCAGAAATACACCATAGATGTACTGTCCTCCCTAAAATGCAAACAAGTGCTTCAAATAAGAGATGTCTCTGCCCCCTCCCCCCTTTCCTTCTGTACCTCTAGTCGGACGAGATTATCACTCCCTTCTCCAGCAGTGTGTCTGGTGGATTTGAACTGCCAGATAAGAGATCTTTATACACACAGTGCTACTAACTGAAATGTCTCCCAGTTAAACTTGCAGCCTAATATCTACAGCACCAACTATGCTCCTTTTTAAAGACTAAGAAGATAAATGTAAAATATCTCATTACTAACTTTCACATTGATTAATTCAGAAACAGGGAGCTCTGGTGCTCTTGTGGTAAAAAAGCTGTGCTGCAATCCCAAGGCACACAGTTCGAATCCACCAGATGCTCTTCAGAAGGATGGGCAATCTTGTGTGATTAACTGCTTCTGAAAACCTGCAGAAGTCAGTTATGGGTCAGTTCTGACTTGATGGTATGCAATAATGCAGAAATATTATTTATTTATTGGTCTAAATAAAACTTAATTTGGCCTTACTTTAAAATTTAAAACTATGTATGTGTCTTCTATTATATTTCTACGGGACAATACTACTCTAGCTTAAATTTTACTGGGGTTCTAAGAAATTCACTTTGTTAAAACTGAGTAGAAAAAGCTATGATTATATACAACCTTAAGTATTCACCTTTATTCTTTTCACGCTTCAATATGTGCCTAGTTCTACTGATTCCAAAGGAGAGAATAATCTACTTCAGCATTGGAACACAAAGCTAATTCCTATGGAATAACAAATATTCAAGTAAATAATTCAGTATTACTTTTAAGTCTCACTGATTTAAAACCAGAGTTCTTAAAAAAATATATAAATGAATAATTATATTTATTTCTGAACAGGTTATTAAAGTGTTAGCAACAGACCATTATTGCAGCACAACTCACAGTGGTTATGGAAACAACTTAAATGTTCACCAACAGATAAACAAATAAAATGTGTATGTATGTGTATGTATATATATGTGAAATGATTACATAAGCATAAAGAGTAATATGCCCTGATACACGCTACAATATGGGTACTGAAACTACCACCACATGGAGTGAAATAAGGCAGTTACAAAAGCTCAATTACTTTCTGATTAACCTGATACAAAATATTTACAATACGCAAGTGTATAAAAACCCAAGATTATTAGTGGTTATCAGGGGTGAGCAGGAGGCAAAAAGGTGAAGGAGATTCACTGTTGAGGAAACACTGAGCTTCTATTATGTTGTTGTTATGTGCCGTGGAGTCACTTGCGACTCATAGCGACCCTATGTACAACAGCCCTAAATTCTGCTCTGTCTTGTGTCAATCGCACTGTCTCTGACACTCACACCCCGATTATCCCAGTCACTGAATCAATCCACCTCATAGAGGGCCTTCCCCTCCTGCATCGTCCCTCCACCCTCCCAAGCATGATGTCCTTCTCCAAGGACCAGTCTCTCCTCACAACATGTCCAAAGTATGTTAGACGGAGCCTCAGAATCCTTGCCTCCAAGACTGGTGGAGCTTCTATTATAGGGAATGAAAATCTAGAAACATAATGGTGATGGCTGTATAAAAGGATGAACACAATGAACTATAGACATAAGGAATACAGAAATGGCAAATGTTTTGTCACACAGAGACAGAGGCAGAAAGAGAGTGCAAGATACCAGTATTTAAAAGTTTAGAAAGCCCACATACTTTAACAATGTTTCAAGGAGGGTGGGGGAAATAATACTTCAGATTGAACACTGAAAAGCCACAGAAGGCTTACAGGCCTGACACTTTTGCTTTGCTTATTTATACATTTAGCTTAGTTGTATCCAAAATAACAGTTAACATTAATAGTTCATACTTACAGAGTTTACCGTTAGGCTCTTTCTATCCACTCAACAATCATATGGAATAAGTACTATTTCTTAATCCCATTTTGTAGAGGAGGGAAAAACAGAACTTTGCCTATATCACCCAGTGTGCTTATATATGCTTATAACAATAAGCATAGACCAAGAATCTGAGCCCAAGCAAACTGTTTGCCTAATACTTCATTGTGATGCTTCTCAAAAGTAATTACCAGCAGGCCAGCTCCACAAAAGTGGAGCCTTGTTTAGTGTACTGCTGTGTCTTCTGACTCTTAGGAATACAGGTAGAGGATGGGAAAAGACAATGGTGGTTCATTAGGAAATAACTAAACACGTTTACCCTTTCAGAATACTAAACTCTTAAAAGGGTCACTTACTCAGAAAAGCCTTTCCACTTCAGCAGATATTCCACTTGCCCCTTAACCACACGCCTGTCTAGCACCTTCTCCACAACATACTCCTCCTCATCCTCTGAAGAAGAACTGTCAGCTGTCCGCTTGGTTTTCTTTCCCATGTCTTACACTGTTCCACCTGAAGAACTAAGGCCACGACGAAGTTCCTGCAAATGGGAAGGACAAATATGTTTAGAATTCATGTGAAGAATAAAAAAGGTCTCTTCTAGAGAGCAGACAGTTGTCACTGTAGCCTTTCCAAGAGCATTCTACAGATGAGTTTAAAGAATTATAAAAGTGGGTAAAGCTCACTTTTCCTTTCAGTTAAAAAGGTAAAAATTATTAAAATACTGCAATTATTGAACTCCTCCAAATTTAGATTCTAAAAACCACAAGTTAATCCTAGCCACCTTTTTAACTATTCAGAAGAACTCCATGCAAATGTGGAAAATCTGTTTTAAAACCAAAACAGAATTAAAGCTTTCCTTCATAGTGAGTAAAGTTTATAATAATTAAAACAAACAAACAAACAAAAAAACCACGGGGGGAATTTTTCTCTGCCCTGCTAATCTTGACCAGTGGTTTGGCAGCATGAAAAAGAATAGTTCAGGCATCTTTCACCATGTTTTCAGTGACTCAGTACATTTCCTTTAAACAAATTGAGCTTGTCTCTTTCAAAGCATCCATCAGCTCACAAAAGCAAGGCTGACATCTCAAACACACTAAATAAACCTCCTAGTAAACTCACAGAGGAGTAAAGAGAGGATAAAGACGAAAAAAATGTTAGTCCTAACATTCAAAATTGTCACTTAATTTTACAGAATTTCTAAGGCTCAACTAACCCAAACAGTTAAACAGGTAACTCTCCTCCTCTCAAATGAAGTTGATTTTGGGTCAAAGAAGAAGAAAAAGTCTGGCCCCAGACTCAGCATGGACATGAAGCTTCAAAACACAGAGTATCCCTGATGGGCCCAAGGAAAAGTGAAGAAAGGCAACACAAAGGAAAACTGCTTATACTCTGGGGTTCTCTGCCAATTTCCTTTTGAAATTCACATACTGTTACCATAATCATCTGTGTTTTATGTGTAACAAGTTTCAAGCCTTAGTAATTTTTTTTTCCCAAGTCTTAATAATCTTTTAAGAATTTTCCTGCCCTATTAAATGTTGCCTACAGTCTGGGTTACAGAGTAGCAGGAACTGTTTTCATAGCTGAGCTGCATTTTTATGTTGCTGTTATCTTTAAGGATGTCTTAGTATTCCCTAAAATACTTCCATCCTGATCAGACCACCACTACTAGAAATAGAAAGAACAGGCATCAATCTCAGAATTATGTTCCAATCAAGTGACAGAAAAAGTTACCAATTTACCTTCAATTTACATAAATATTCCCCCCTCCAAATATAGGTAAAAATCCTCTGTTCAGAACTTATTAGTAATAGGGTCACCTACCCCCCAAACTGTGTGTGGGTGTGTATATACACATTACTGTCCTTTAACTATTTTCATTAAAATACTTTATATACAAGTGGTGGTAGGGAATAATGTAAGATAGGGAGTTTTAAAATAATTTCTCCATGAATTTAGATGAGAGTTCTAACCTTTGAGAAAATATATCCGATTTGCTTTACTTGAAATAAAAACAGTCTCAAACCGCACCAGACAGGAAATGGCATACACCAGGGAGAGTACCCCACCCCCACCCCCACTCACCTTGGAATTTCCGGGAGTTGAGTCTAGGTCAGAGCGCTAGGGTTAAAACCAGCCCCATGTTAGATGCATGCAGTTAAGCATTGTAGCCATGGCCTCTCTGGCCTCACCAGGAAAAACAAGGATTTACATATGTGTTCTTCAATTTGAGGAAAGGAAGAGGAAAATCTCCTTTTGTATCTTCATGCAGAAGAGGATTCCCCAAAGTGGAAGATGAATGGGGGTTCCCTTCTTTACCTACCGGATCGCCCCAGTTCTTTCTTTCCCTCTGGGCTAACAGGAGGGGCCTCCCCTCCCAGGTCTGGGGCTTGGCGGGCTGGCAGCTCCCCCGCCCCCACCCAGCTGCCTGGGCGCCACTGCGCAGCTGTCCCAGTCCGTTGTCATGACAACTGGCAGCAGTGCTAGTCTAAAAGAGGGGGAGAGGCAAACAGAAAAGTTAAAAGGCTTAACTTTCCTTTTCCCTTTCGGTGAAGACTGGGTGGAGAAATTGGAAGGTACCTTTCTTGGCTTCAAGGCCAAGGCATTCAAGGCCTAGAGGAATTGCTTCTTAAGTTTAAATAAGAAACTTGTTCTTATTTCTCTAAGAGCACTGGGGAATTAATCAATAGCAAGATCATATAACAGGATTTTAGCCCAACCGGAAGGGGGAAGGGAAAGATTAGGTCCTTCTACAGAAGGATCAGAACAAACCACCACTCCCTAATCCAGCCCACCAGAAAGAGTTTGTACAAGACCTTTTTACCATCTGCCACGGAACAGTTAATTAAAATTGTTGGGGGAGGGCACAGGAAAAAAGGGGTGATAACAAAAGGATACACTTTTCTTTCTTTGAGATTACTAGATACAGAAACATAATCCAGAAATGTGAAGCACTACTAAAACACTTATTTTCCAACTGAAATTTTAACTAAGGGGGAGTAAGGAGAAAGGAAGAATTAAACTAAGTAATAATAATGGGGATGGGAGCAGTTCAACCACAACTATCACTGTCATAGTAAAAATTCCTTATGAGTTGTCTTTGAAATGTTACCAAGGCAATTTTTAATTACTACCTACCTGATACACAATAAACAACTCTCTAAGGCAATAATCCTTTAATACTTGAGAACTGAGATAAAGATTAAGACACTTAAGTTCACAAATTTTTCTTTCTCTTGGCAGAACATTTCTGAAAGCCCCTAAACTCACTCTGCATATGTATATAAATAAATATTTATAAAATATATTTTTATGTATTAAAAAAACTCTTTGTTTTGCTTTGCCTCTTTATACAACTTATTTAGTTAGAAGAAAACAATGCCAGAGGAATGAGTCCAATCTTAATAATTAACTTGCTATGTGTGATTTCATGTAAATAAATTTCAGCTCTAACCCTGAATCACAAATACATGTCAAATCTCTCTACTGCCTACCTTCTAGTCAAAGCAAGTTTATGTTGAAACCAAAGAATTGTCATATCCTCCAAAGAGAAGCTTTTATAATGTGTGCTCAAGCTGAATATAATACAGCACCAGGAAACGTGACCATTTAAATTCTTTAGCCATTAAGCCATATCACAACCACATGCTATAGGGTAAAAGAACTCTGGCAGTTCCAACATGTTAGAAATGAACAAGAAAAGAACACATTTGTTAACCTTGCTGTTAGATGCTGATGCTGAAGTTCTGAATTCTAGCAACAACATGTAGAAGCAAACAAAACCGTACCCCATCCTCATTCTCCACCTCAGATTCCTTTTGCAGATCTCTCCACTTTTCTAAATCTGATGTCCTTTCCCCAAAACTGCCCTCCCTTCCCCAACATGACCAAAGTATGTGAAATGAATGTCTCATGGAAGTTCTAAAGACTTTGTAGGCATTGGAAACTAAAAAACCTTCCCAGAACAGGGCTGGTATGTTCTCTCTCAAGGCAAAATACTTAACTCTCCTTAAACTCAAAAAAAGCCTTTGAGGAAGGCATAAAGGAGAGAAAAGAATGACAATAACATTAACATTTTGGTGAAAGTTTTCAAAAAAAGAATTTAGTAAGAAAATAAAAATATTCTAGTGAGTGCTGCTCTTCCTAAAATTACATCAGGAAATAGATCAATTCCCTCTCCTCTTCACCCCTTAAGAAATGTCAAAAGGGCACATGAGCTGAAGTCCTTTTCTCTTTTGGAAGTGAGTTTTGTTAACAGCTGACAAATCTTATTGGGCCTGATGCCAGGAGTCAGAGTCCAACCATAATATTCTGTAAAGAATGGCATGCAATTGTCTTGTAAATCTCCTGGACAGTCACAGATCAGAAGCTGGCAAGGATGACGACATAGTTCTGATGGAATGTGTCTTATCTTAACCTTGAAGTTACAGATCTGCTCAGGAGCAGCAGTAAGAAATGAGAAATGCGCTCAGACATCGGAGGGGACATAATTCTCTTTTAGACAGTGCGACCCAGTGTATTAGGGTCAAATGAAACACAAAGCCAGACGGACAATTTAAGAGCTAGAGCCTGGACCAGATAAAGCATCAAGAGTAGTGGTTCACGCTGAGCTTGGGAGGAGGGAGCGTTCCAGTATGAGAAATGAGACATGGCTGGCAGAATGATGGAGTGATTAAGGTAGAATCCCAATACCATGACGGAAGGAAGAGAGGATGAGCCTCTGAGCGAAACTTTATCCTTGTGGAAATCTCCATGGGAAGAGGCAAGCCGCTTCTCAAATTTCTAGAGCATCTTTCAGAATGGCAGTTCTCAGCGTGTGTGTGTGTGTGTGTGTGTGTGTGTGTGTGTGTGTATAAAATTCATAAGGCCAGGAGAAAACAGCAGGCTCCTCTAGCCTTTCATATAAACAATGCAAGGCAAATTCATCTTATATGCCCCATAGGTTAACATTTGGAAGGGGAGAAAATATTCAGAGCTCTGTGGTCAGGCACAGTTAGAATCCACATTCCATGCCTGCTGACAGGAGACTTCCTTTAACAGATGAATCTTCTAAAAAAGGGGGAAGGGGTGAGAAGTGAAGTAGAAAGAGAAGGGGGGAAATGCCATACATGTAAGGGTAAAAGGAAAGTTTAAAAACTGCCAGTCCCAGTCCTAAGCAATTACAGAGAGAAAGAAAGCATTAAAGAAAGCTAAGGAAAACCGTAAGAAAACAAATCAATCTGGAGCCAGAAAATCACCCATACAGGTCTTTGGCATCTGCTCTGTTCAGTTCTGGTTCTGCTACAATACCTTTAGTCGCCATTTTTTAATGCCACTGGTCCTAGTGGCACTGTTTAAATTTTGGTGTGACAAATTTTATTTTCATCATCACATGTAACACAATTCTAAATCTTTCTCTGTATCACTTTAAAGGGAATGAGATAGTAGCCAGACCAAATATCAAAAGGCATCATCAATGAATTGTCATTTTAAACTTCCAGTATAAATTCTGAAAGCCCAGTTTGTTGTTATGTATTGTCTAGTCAACTAGGCAATGAACAGACTGGAACCCTGCCCTGTCCTCATGTTTTCTGCCTTGTTTAAGCTCACTGTTGCAGTCCCTGTGTCAATTCATCTTACCATCTCTACTTTTCCCTCCTTAAAACATGCCCATGGGCGAGCTCTGGTGGCCTAGTGGCAAGAAGTTGAACTGTAATCTCAGAGGTACACGGTTCGAATCCACCAGATGCTCTGCTGGAGAAGGAGGAACAATCTCCTCCTGTACCAGTCAGATCTGATTTGACGGTACACACAAAAAATAAGGAAATAAAATAAAATTTAAAAAAAAAAAAACCACCAAAAATCATGCCCATGGAAGATGAAGTTGCATCATCCTTGCCTCTACTATGGGTGTTCTCTTCTTCAGGAAGTAAGTTAGAACTAAAAGCGGGAGGGGGCATCTGGGGAAGCCTCATGTGAAGAAGAAAGTATATGCAAAGTTCCCTACATGTGGATTAATTAAATACGCCATTGATGAATAGGCTCAGGTTTGAGACAATTCCCACTGCTTCTCTTAAGTTGCATGGCAAAGAGAAATGTCTTAGGTAAGGATTACATTTTCACAGCACTCTTTAAGAAGTCCTACACAGCAAATAAATCTGATGAAAAACCAACTTATAGAATCATTTTAATCTGTTCTATACGAGCTAAGATCAAGGACTTCAGTCTTCAATATGGATTGCATCTCAGCATCAAGAAAAGAAAAAATTCTCATCACTGGGCCAATAGGCAGCATCCTGAAGTTGTTAAATTATTTTGCTGGGGTCGACAATTAACACCCTTGGTAACAGGCGTCAGGTAATCAAAATACAAGTTGCACTGAGAATATCTGCTGTCAGGGACCTCCCCAGAGTGCTAAAAAGCAGGGATTGTCAGTCTAGAGACCAAGGTGCGCGCCTGAACCAGGCCATGGTCTTTTCAACTGCTTGCTATGCATCTGAGAGCTGGACAATGAATAAGGATGAACATACCACAATCTGCCAAGAGAACAAACAGATCTGTCTTAGAAAGTATGGAACCAGGCCACATCTTGGAGACAAAAATTTCAAAGCTCCATCTTTCACACTCTGGGCATGTTGCCAGAAGGGCCCAGTCCTTGAAGGCCACCATGCTTGAAAGCATGGAGGGTCAGTGCAAGAGAGGAAGACCCTGGATGAGATGGATAGACACAGTGACTATAGCAATAGGGTCCGGTGTGTCAGAGATAATGAGGTTGGCTCAGGATAGGACAAGGTTCAGAGCTGATGTTCATAGGGTCGCTATGAGTCACAATTGACTCAACAGCACATGACAACAACAACATATGAACTCAACATATCTGTTCTTTACTCTTTACGGATCCTGAAGCACTGATGCCTTCACATATGTAAAAAACACAGTCTTAAACTAAAATAGTCTCCAGAAAGATGTTTTTTCCCCTAAGTGGACTTACGATTTCCAAAAGTAAATCAAAGTAATGCCAGGTGGCATTAACAAAAACAACATGTTGTGGAGCTGTGACAGACCCATAATTGACCCTCCAGTAGGCGTTCAGAGGCAGTAAATCACACGGAGGAGACTGCCCATCCTTCTCCAGAGACTCTGCTCATGGATTTGAACTTTGTGCCTTTGGGAATGCAGCACAGCTTT